TGAGAAACGTGCGATCCTTAGTGGAATAACATTCCGCAACTTTTTACTTCAAGGAGATCCGGGTACAGATACTTTCGCGCACTTGTATGCGCGACAACAAAGCAAAACATAATTAAGTAAATAACGAGAAGGAAGTAAATGCGTCGCGTGCAGATAATTTCTGCACGACTCCTGTTATAATCATTATCATTTTCGTTTCACTTCAGAATCCTCCAACGCAAATCTATCGAAACGCATTACACCTTTTTCACTTTATACAGTAAGTATCTATTATCTTGGAATAAAAATATATATCTAATTTTCTGAAATATACTTCGTTAAAATTTATATAATACGCTTGTAACTTTCTTTACCAAAAGGAAAAAAAAACAGAGTGCAAGAAAAGTAACATAATAACGCGTGACCAACATACGATGTGATTAGATCCGTTCTTGAAGAGAGCATTTGTTTGCATATATATATTCAATAAAGGATGTAGTGTCTCGCTCACGAAAGAATATATATATTTTACGAAAAGTACACTTGATGCGAAACGCTAGCGTGTCCCTTGATAAACAAAATTTAACACTTTGCACTCTTTTTAAATGCCATGTCTATTATACTTGTAAAAGAATAATAGATAAGTTAATGATGGATAAGTTTTCCCAATGATATTGCCCCGTTATCGGAGCTTCGAACATATTCTTTAAGTCTACATATAGAACGAGAAAATATGCACATACGTAAATCGATGTGCACTGCAATATGGAGCTGAAAGTATCAAAAACAACCGATGTGCTCGATTTCTTCTGTACTTGCATATTGTATATAGCGGCACACATGTGTGCATAGCAATTACGGAGATAAATAGAAAGCGTACGTACGCTATTCGAAAAGCTCCGCGAACCTCATTCGCATAATTACGCGGTTGTATTACACGTCTTGTCCTTCATTATTTTAATCGGAATGTAGGCTGTCTAATTGATCATGCATAAAATAACTCTTTTAAAAAAAGTAAGGCATCGCGCGAGCGCGAGTGTGTCTTCATGAGAGAGAGAGAAAGAGAGAGAGTTGAGCCGTATAGTTTCAAACATTCTTGTATCGCATCGATAACAATAAATAAATATAACGATAAAGCATTTGGTTGTTTTAAAAATTACCAACTTACTGTAACAAATAGAATAAATATCATGAGTAATGAAACAAATGAGTAGATTTATTTTGTGTGTGCGGCCTGGAAGATTTGGAAGCCACGAGATACATTTGTAATTTGATAGTTATGTATTCTATTCTCCGATTTACTGCGACAGCGAAAAGCGTGAGGAAAGAATGCGGGGAGAGTCAGAGAAAAGAGAATTTGAATGGCAGAAAGAACAGGGAGAATTTTTTACGTCTTGTCACATGCCCACGTCGGTGCATGCGGAATCGTCCTGTGCATAATAAATGGACAAATTGCAGCTACATTGTCACAGAAACGCGTACAATCCGCGGCAAGAGGCGCGTACATACAGTCAATATTGAATTACTCAGCCTTGTAACATCAGTGTGGTTCATCTCACAGCAGGAATCCAGTATCTCGATTGGCGAATGTTCGCACGGACGGTGCGGCCAGTTTTTTTTTTTTTTCGTTTCGTTTCTCTTCTGCGTACGCCGCGAACCGTCGCCGGTTGTTGCGCCGAGTTTGCATACGCATGAGCAACTCCGACAATATCAAGGAATCACGCGGCGCGCACAAGTCGAGCCGAAGCTATCGCTGATAAATGATTCCCCCTATATGACACTTGCGTCATCTCAATTTTATTGCCGTATATCTTATTAAACTTTAAAAATACCAGAGAGACAGAGAGAGAGAGAGAGAGAGAGAGAGAGAGAGAGAGAGAGAAAAAGAGAGAGAGAGAGAGTGTGACTGAGTGTCTGAGACTGAGAAATGAATGAGTGACTGAGAAGATTAGTTTTCGTTACGTTAATTATCAACAATAAATTTCTTGATTTAAAAATTGGCTTTTTCTCAACAAGTATTTAAAATATTATACATATTTAACTCATAGAAGAGTTTTATGTATTTCGAGACATATAAATCGACTCGTTTGACCAAAACATTTGTCGTTTTTACAAGTGATTCTTCTCTCGTTTGTACAAGTTAATTTCTACGCTAAAAAAATGGACAAGATAAATCTAAATAAATTAGTGATGGGATCTTTATATTGCACATTTAACGTAACCGTCGGCAAAAGTGTATGTATCCGACAGACAGGGAGATAGGGATCAAGATAGATCAGAAGAGAGTAGGTGGGGACGGAAAGACAGGAGGAACGAGATAAGTTGGTGACCTTGGTGAAGAGAATGGATACGGGGAGTAATTTTATGGCGAGAAAAAACTATTAGGAATATTACAACGGATAATATCCCGTAGCTGATTTACTTCACCTATATTAGGACAGATCATTGTAATGATGAGAATGAGGTAAGCATACTAATAAAACAAGAAGAATAAGAGAATGCGTTATATGCATTGAATGTATCACATATCATGTAGTTACATAATGTATAGCATCTTTATCTGAGAAAACTCAGAGTTCAAGAATAAACATTGTATATATTTACTTAACGTAATCAAGGACTTGGCGAAGCAGCAGTCGCGAACAGATCTAATCAACTGTAAATAAATTATTATACTGTTAACACCTTCTAAATTTGTAGTATATCTGTAATACGGATTATAATTAAATCAGTTAATAGAAAACGTGAATCCTGCCGCGAAATGTTTCGAAACTGTGTTACGTATTCTATGTTCTAGTGATTATTTCTATCTTGGATATATAGCGTTACAACATTTTGCAAAAGTAACATTTGCAATGGAAAACAAATATTCTACAGATGTTCGGTCCATTACAGACATTTATAGGACCAACATTAAGATATTCGTTTCTGAAAGTGACGTTTTTATACAGTATAAACTTCATGGCATGAAAGCCTCTAATAGTGTGATCATATCTTGCTCTTCCAAAAGAAAAGCTTCAGAAATGTGTATCAGAAAGCGCATCTTCCGAAACAGTTACATTTCTTTGGTATCGTTCACCATTGATGGTACCATTGATGGTAGCCTATAGCCGAACCCTCTGACGCAGTAAATGGCGCAGCGCAGTTCCTTTTTTACTCAACATTAGAGTGATTTTCAGCACGCACGTAGGATATGTACCCATCAGGGATCTTTTTTTTACGCTTAAAAGGAACGCGAAGATCGTTGCAAAGTGCTCCTTTGTTTCGTGAGGAAATGATTGAAAAGATTGCTCGCGTGCATCGGATATTTTACCTCGGCCGAATGCGCCGTAATAGCAGGTGTGATCTTCTGGCAGGAAGAAAAAGTTGGAGCGGTCGAATACAGATCTCAAATTTGTGACTCTTGCTCGCTCCCAAACCAAAAGCAAATCGTTGCATTGGGGCCTGATGTTACGAGCTATGTTAGTGTTGGTGCGATTACGTGGATTGTCCACTTTCGGCGCGACTGAGCAAGATGATTACATTGTTCCGCATTGTCCGTGTCTCCACACGTCTCCGCATTATTATAGCTATTATCGTAGCGTCGCTTTGACAATTTGTCGAGTAATTCAACGACAAAGTTAAATAGATTTCTGAATTACAATGTTAATCGGCGCGTGACTTCATTTTTCATTAATAGATATATTCGTAGAACAAAACAATACACAATTTTGACAAAAACTTTAATAATTTCTGAATAAAATGGCACGGTTATGTGAATCTTAGCGCAATCTAATATAATTGCTCTGTAACATTTTTATTGAGGTTCTCTATTAATTATTGTTATAGCGTGACAAATCATATCGGCACATTACGATTGACATCACCGATCACTTTACTTTCTTTTATATTATTTTTTGCGTTACATGTTGAGCGTAACCCAGGTAGCAAGCACTCGTCATTTTGACGTCAATTGACGTCAAAAGACGTCAAAATGACAGACTTTTGACGTCAATTGACGTCAAAATGACGAGTGCTTGCTACCTGGGAAGTGTTATAGATGCCATTTATTCATAACCGATTATCCGCGAAAGCGTCTTGTTCTCTGCGTTTATAACGTTAATCTTGATGCGGACTCGTTTCTTCTTTCCCGTTACAGAGCGGGCTCTCGCTCTCTCCATCCTATAATTACGCGGGCGTTTCGCGAAAAGTTTCGAACGCACGCTAAAGATGTTAACGGTAGCGGCAAAACATACGATTGCAATGCGGTGAGAAATTGCGGCTTAATATCACAGAAATGATTTTAATGAGAACGTAATCATAATTCCTAACGCTCTGCGTCGTCTTAAATCGGGAATAATTGCAGCATTGACCGAAGAATGAGGAAACCACGGAGTTATAGTCTCGGGGCCACGAAGTAACATTACATAAAACAAAAACGTCGCAGAAAGTACGAGCGTCGATGGAACATTAGAACGGTTTACTGTAATTACTGTAATTATTTAACGCGAGCAGAGTCAGGAAAGTATCAGAATTTTATTGGTCCCGTACTTGTCCGCTCCTGGAGAGTTGCAGAACGAGCTGGGCGATATCGCTCGCAAAATAAAAGCATGATATACGAGTTCTCTCTTTCTCTCTCGCTTTCGAGTGGTCGCCAAGTAAACTCGCGAGTTCTTGTATTCTCATAAAATGGATTCTGACATGCAATTAATTTCTGCTAATTGAGTCCCCGATAATCTTATTTATATAACCCACTTCTTACTTGAACGAGTTTAAGAGAAATCAAATAATATGAATATACGAAAAAATTAAACTTATGGAAAATGTGCAATACTTACCTCAATTCGCCGAGATACAGTCCTTCGATAATAATTTAATTCTTTTCTGTAATTGTGTTTACGGTAGGAAGCAGAAGAGATACGGAGCAACATTTCGCAGCAAAATGTCAGAAGAGAGAACGAATCTGCAAATTCCAATGGTTATAAAAATATAAATATTTTGGCCGTAAAGGAAATCCAAAGGTTAAGTGCATTAGGCGCCGCTGTGATTATATATAGCAGTACTGTTTTATTTATATGCCATATAACGTAACACTTAGACAATAGACAATAATACGCGTACGCTCCATATTTCGCTTCCTCATTTTCCTCCATGCTGCCCTTCCATTTCCATAATATCATAATCATAATCACCGTCCACATCTTACGATCGTTGTCATTACACCGCACTCGTTTCCAACACACAATATCTTTCTCTACGAATCGTTGGTTAAATAACTACAACAGCCAAATTTATTAGAACAAGTAAATAGGTCGTATTAAGTAGATACCCATTCCTTTTCTTAACTCGGATACTGTTATTGAGCACGTATTAAGGAACGATCGGAATTCATTCCGAAAAGTTTCACTGGTTACGAGCTGTTAAAAACGATCCGCAAAGTTTTACATTTTTCACACCCTAGCAATGTCGGTCTGACTCGTTCGATGCGAGCCAGGAAAATAAAGACGCGAAACCTCGATCGATTGCGATCGATCTCACGATCTAGCGATTTTACGTGTAGATCGACACTTCATACGGAGACATAAGTGCTGGTGTATCTTTTTTAGCTTTTTATTTAGTATGAAAATTGCGTATTCGCCTCATATTAGATCTTGAACAGCTCAAACAACAATATTCATACGAGGTTAACTTTGCAGCTGCGTTACAGCGCACATACACAATTCATTTTAGATAAATTGGTTAAAAGTATCCCAATGTATGTACGTATAGTTGTCGATTACTAACTAAAATGGTGTCTATTACAATTTTTCCAACAAAAGAAAATATTATCAAGTGTAAAATAACGCTTAGAAGAGTCTTCTCGATCGGAGAACGAGCACCCCGCATTTCGCAAGAGAGCTCTTCTTCACAACCGCGCTCACAACCGAGAGAATTTACGACCCTCCTTGTGCTAGAAAATACTCTATTATAGAATATACACGTCAAATATCAAACACACTATCCCTCCATCGATCGTTTCAACTGCGTGAAACGAGCGATCCTCAAAACCGGAATTGCACGAAGCACGATTTCTTGAATGATTAGCTTGCACGCTGCTATATCTGCTCTGATGCATTCAATGCATGCTAGACCTATAGACGTTCTCGCATTGAATAAAGCACTCTGGCATGCATGATTGCATGCACCAATTAAACGTCTCTATTTTTTAATCCAAATCTGACGTTTGACTTGTACTACGAAATTAGCACAATTGTTTCTTTTCTGAAGATGCGATGCTGTCGATCGTCTGCTCGATCGTGACTGTTTTCAATGTTTTAATTGGTGCATGCAATCATGCATGCCAACGTGCCTCGCTCAATGCATGATGTCTAGGATCTAGCATGCATCAGAGCAGGCATAGCAGCGTGCAAGCTAATCATTCAAGAAATCGTGCTTTATGTGATTCCAGCTTTTTAGGAAAAAGAAAAAGGAGCAATTAACAACTACTTCCTTTTAGAGAGCTGGCTTCGGAAACCCAAGTAGCAAGCGGACGTTATTTGTCGTCATCTTGACGTTGCAATATTGTCAAAGACGTTAATGTGACATCAAAATAACGATAAATAACATTAGCTTGCTACTTGGGAAATTATTCACGAATACGTCCCTCAATAAGTACTTATAATTAAAGAAAAATATAGATATCACGAACGATAGGTATATGTATAAAGGCCGAATTAATCGTCGTCGTTGACACCAATAATATATAATCTGATACTTCGTCACTCGCTTAGACTCGAACGTGTGCGCTTTTATTCATACAGCGCAATAGTGTTTTTATCTAAAGTGAAAGGACGCGTGTACCCCTCTAACAATACACTTACAAAATAGATTATATTACGATTACAGTTAAAAGTTATTGCTTAAAAAAATATGGCGACAGTATGTAAAACTCGCAAGGTCGAGCGAATCTGTTACGCGCGTTTTAGCGCAGCACCTCACGTTCGTGTTGAATTTGTCGAATCTCCATTCTCTATAAAATAGTGTACCTCAGAAAAGTGCAACAGCCGACAAATATAGAGATTATCTCAACGAAACGTGTGGACATTAACGTTCAAAGTACGAGACCTGCGTTACATCACGGCGAAGTTTGTCAAATAAAAATAGAATTTTAATTAATTTTAATAAATCAATTTAATAATTTTAATAAAATTATCAATTAAAAATTAATTTAAACCTCTCCTTTCAATTTCGAATTCCTCGAATACTTCACAGACAAAAAATAAATTGTCAAGATAAGATAAATATCTCATTTTAATTTAATTGATAACCCGGCGGTCTAATTAATTATATAAAATCCGAATTTCTTTTAGTTTTTCCGGCAATACAGACCACTGAAAAATTATAAATGAGTCCTCCTGTTTTCTAGAAGATCAGAGAATTCGACGTCGTTGCACATGACACTTTGCAAAACATGCGTGCGAACGCACGCATACGTACTTGACCGAGGTGACAAGGTGTGAGTGCAGATATATGCGACCCACAATAGACACATGTTTCACACGCAAAGGTAACGGACGTGAGAATAATGCATGCCGTTTACAGCGACCATTATCTTGACACTTCGCGATTCTAAGTTTCACGGAAACGTTACGAATATCGTTTAACGATATTGATGTAACTTCTGAGAATAGCGAATCTGGAACAGAATGCTCTCCAACTCTATCAAATGCAACAAGTCGCGTCGTGTAATTCGATTTACCTGTTCGCCCCGTTTCCCCGTCAGATGCTTTAAGATGATAACGCGATTGCGCTCCAATCGCACTGTTTTATTTACATCGATGTCGAAGTGAACTGCCTTAAATTAAAATTGCGGGTTACGACAATAAATACCAGCACGCCAAAAATTATAGGATCGGCCGCCACCCATGGATAGGTTTCTGCGTACGTCGTCTTCGTACGGACATCTGACGCGAGTCTCACACGTAACAAAAGGATCGCACGAAGTGCGTGCATTTTGTGTAATGCTGTGCGATGGTTAATTAAAAGTCAATCGTCGTATGGTGTCCGTGAGAATTTCTCTTCGCGATTCAGACATTCGCAAAGCGAAAGTAGAACGATGTTGTGTTTTTCATGCAAATGCGAGCCTGCTGGAATATCTGAAGAATACCCAGTACGATGTATAAGAGAATAAAATATATATAATCATATATATATATATTGTGTGTGTGTGTGTGTAACTATTAAATTAATTCTAGTTGAACTTCTAATCTTAAACTATCTAAGCAAAAAAAAAACAGAAAACTCCACTAAGCGACATAACACACTTATATGTATCGAAATAAATTTTAGTCATAAATTTTAAATATAAAATATAAATTCTCAAGTGTGATCTTGTATACATGAAAGCTTAGTTGATATGCAAATTAATTCCTTAGTTACAAATTAAGCGAGATGATGATGATAAATCTGACGCAGCACGGCGCACATGCCCATTTTTGAAACGCAAATTCATTTACGGAAATGAGTCATTAAGTATTCTGTGGTAATATTCGCGATCAAGCTATGCATCAAATTGTTGCTCGAAACGTGTTTCGCGTGAAGCAAGAGGGACGGAAGAGGGGCATTCGAGAAAAGGAGCAAGCAGAAGAGAATGAGAGTGTATATCGAAGGGACAGTGTTTTTCGGTGCTCTTATTTGTAAATTAATTTGCCGCGAACTGGAGCGACCAGTTTTTGAGCTGCTATTTTATTGTACCACGTCGCACGAACTGACACATCCGCCACGATTTTGCGCGCAGATGCGCTCGCCTTCGTACGAAAAGTTTTAATTATCAAAGAATAGCGGCTGATATTATCATTTGTCGTGAAAAAAAAAGGATTTTAATATGGGATTGGATTGACTCACGATATCTCAAGATTAATGCTTTACTCGTCACCAAGATTAATGCTTAACTCACGTTAATTGCTGCGATAATGACACTTATGTTTTACAATATTAGGCGCAAAGAGATGTTATATATCTGTTCTTTGAGCATTGGACAAGTATGATTTGCATGGATATTGCTTAATAAGAATAAAAGATATATTCTTATTCGACCTTTGAGGAATAAAAAGAATATGTGCATAAAAATTTTAAAAAATCTATCATATAGATTTAAGTATTATATGATCGATTGAAATTTGAACGTCTTACTCAATTATGCTCGATCATGCGTAGCTGCACGTTTCGCACCCCTTCCAGTAGCATTAAATAACATATATAAATTGAGAAAATAGCGTTTGCAGTAGTCAATATATACGTGATATATATGAATAAAGCGGAAAGCGTCAAAATCACTATAGGTCCGTCGAATAATTTGGCCAGCGCCTCGCTTGCATGCGCGGTCACCGCCGTCATCCAGTGTCCGGTTTTCCACACGCGAAATTGGCCACACGCGTCGTTGGGAAGGACCAGCGAATAAAACCGTCGCTCACGATCGGATAGATTCCTCAGGGATCCGCTTGACGCCTGTCGCACTTACGATCGTCTCTCCGCAGCGGGGGCTTGCCGCTGCTTTTGCATCTTGCCATCGCGTTCTCGCACCGAATTTAAAATGGGCGGACACATGAGAGGAGGACGCGGGACACAAACTCGCCGAGCAAGGATGGCTCGAGGGGAGTCTCAGAAGCGGAATGCCGCAACGTTCTCGTTCTCCGGGATTCTGCTTGATCGAGCTGCCTCGCGAGAGCAGCCTCGTAATATCAAGCTCCGTCAATTTCGTGTCGTCCGAAACGAAAATCCGCGCGTAGCGATCGTGTACAACCCAGTGTCCGTCTTCACAAGAGAGACGCGAGTGACCGCTCGGAAATGGATGAAGCTACACGCCCTGCGGGTCTTGCCGATCACGTTGGCTCGTGACGGTTCACGATCGTTCGATCTATCGCCATGGAAGATCGCGATGGCATCAATCATCGTGAGATTATTCGTAAAGTAGCAATCGTTTCATCGGAAACTCTACTTCCGTCTTCCCAGGAGAAACCGCAATCACGATTGGAAATCAAAGGACGAAAAACGTCTGAGAACATCCCGCGACTTTTTCGCGACTTTTCCACGAGTTCCTCAATTCTTGACTGGTTGCGATTTGCTCGGTCCACTGGGTATGTAGCAGCGTTGACCGCACACCTCACGAAGCGATGTCCGAAACGAGTTGGCGATGATCGATAGTCAGGTCCAATGCTCCCGACAGCCGTTCTATCACTTCGGAGGTGACGCGATTTTCTTTGGATTCGACATGCTTCCTTCGTCGATTTACTTCACTGATTGTCAGCGATCGATCTGAAAGCAGAAGTAAGGAAACGTTTGACAAGTGCCAAGTAAAAAATCGATAGTGATAGCAACAGGCAATATAATGTCGCTTATTTCCGGGATCTTGTAAAAAATCATATTTTACATTTTCATTCTAATTCCCATAATACCCATTTTTTTAGTTTTAATTAATAAGTCATTAATAAGTCATCGAAAACTGTCGTTATTTTATTAATAGTAAATAATAAGTGTGACATGTTTAAGTAGAAAAAATGCCGCACATATTATCTTTTTATTCTTCTCTGTTTATTATTTTTATCTTTGCTAATTTGGATCGGAATTTTGGACCACATTTATCTTCTATTTTCATCGTATAAAATTTATGGACAATGTGATTATTTCAAATAAGCCGCAATAACGATTGCTAGATGTTGAGATTGTATGTACAGCATAGGAATAATTATGATAACGTAAACGAATTGATTTTGTCTTGCGCAATAAGATTTACGCAACGCGTCACGTGTAATTCTGCGACCTACAGTTTCTGAGATTCAAAGAACGCGAATAATTCATATGTAATTTGCTTAAAAATGTAATGAAACCAATGGGATACCGTATTCACACATACGTGTGGAATATTACATATCCACTTGGATATGTAATATTCCACACGTCCTTCTATTAAAAATATCATTATTTTCAAAATAGTAATAATTCCGGTTTAACTGTGATCACTTCAATTGCTTTTTAATTATCACCTATGTGTTACACGCAATAAGAAAATATGTATAATTGCTATTTGTTACAGCTGCGATTAAAGTGCCAGCTGTAACGAGAGGATAAAAAATGTATAGACGTATATCTATGCCACTTGCGATTCGCAATAATACCAGGTAAATCGCGTTGTTTTATCGCCGTCGACAACGTTTATCAATGTAAATGTATGTTCGCCAAACGACCTGACATGCGGTGCAAAAACGCAATGTTATATTCAACTACGTTCAAGAGTGTGGTGCGTTTATTATTAGCATCAATGAAAAACACCGCTTATTTGCGGTCTTCGTTGCGATTACAGCAAACTTGTTCCACTCTTAAATTAACAAAACAATAGAGTATTCTCTCGCGTATAAAAATTATTCATGACTATTTCATCCATCGTATATTATACTTAATTCATTTTCTTCTGTAATTTCGCGACGCAAAGATTGTCCATCTATCAAAAACTTACAGTATGTACAAAAACAGTAGTTTAGCAGAATTATCATAAATTTGTTTAAATTTTTATTACAATGATCTTGACGTAGTCGAAGCCCAATGCAGTCGTTCAATATAAACGACGTCACATTAACACAGCTAACGCGAAGAAATTATCAAATGCCGGAAACCACCGACTGAGAAACGAAGCTCGGAGAGAAGTTAACGACCGCCATGTCGGCTTATCCGGCGGATATTAAATCTGGTAGCGGGACATTTCTCATTCGAGAAGTTTTCTCAGAGAGACGACCGGCGAGAGGAAACTTACCGCGATGTTTTAAGGACGCGTCGGGTCGCGAATGTGAAGGGGGGAAGGAGGCGGACGAGCGGTACACGTCCTCCGCCGTAAAACAAAATCCACTACGGAAGGATAGCGAGAGAGAAAAGAATGGATAAGAAAGGGAAGGGGGCTGAAGAAGCGACAAGGACGCGAAGGAGGAGTGTATTATGTTCGCTAAAGCAATGTTACCAACTCGAGAACTGGCGAACTAGCCGACAGTAAAATCCATTTTATGTCCCCCTCGTAAAGCCAGTCAAATGAAACCCGGACTTAGTTTTCATACGTGCATCCACTGGCAGACTCGGTTTCCTGCCCGCCACGACAGCAGGTTGTAACAGACTTTTTCAAAGGTCTAGACGCATTGGTACCCAAAACGGATCTCTCTGTCGAATCAATTTTGCTTGGCGAAACTTCGATCATGACGTTCTCGATGACAAACATCGCTACGGTTTCGTTTTATCTTCAAAATCGCTGCGAGCTATATATTATCTGCTTAAAAAATATCTATCAAAAAAGAAATAAGTACAAATAAATCAAGAAAATAAATAAAATAAATCGTAAAATCGTAGAAACTAGTAGAAAATCCAATCAAAAAAGTCAATTTTTTAAATTAAAATTTTGAGCCGTGACGCGCCATATGACATTTCGATTGAGACTTCCATTTTATCTGACTGATACATAAAGCAGTAACTTGTAAACAAAAAGCGATACAAGATAGACGTTAAAAATGATCAGGCAAAACATCGTCCGGCACTAAAACCTGGTCGCCTCGTAAAACACGTCCCGCAGACATACGTCCCGAAAGAGTAGCGGCGATAAAGACCCAGTTCACATCTCAGAGGATCGACTTTGAAAGGATCTTTCGTTAGGTGCCACGAACTTTTTCTCAGAACTGTTTTAATCGGCTCCTTTGTTTGTCGATGTTGCAATCGTGTCTGAGATTCGCCATAAAACTTAATCATGATCCGACTTGAAGAAAAATGCGCGAGAGACCGAGAGACGAGTGTACATGTGAAGGTGGTTTCGGCGAAAATGCGATATTTCGCGGTCTATTATTGCGGAATTACGACTGGCTTCGAGGAACTTGCAAAACTTTAAACTGTCGAATCAGGTATCAAGTAACGGAAGTGTTTACGAACTACAATAAGGAAAATTATTTCGAAGACAAGACATATCCGATAGATAAACGGGAGGGAATGCGATAAGAGAAACTGAGAGTTCATTGATACGCGCGCGATGGTTATAGTCGCCCATCAATGTTACACCTATTTAACCGGTTGACGACGCTCGGAATATTATTTCCACTCGTAAAGCGATCCCTGTAACGATCGACAGTTACTTTGATGCCGTTTCAGGGGCGAGACCGGGCGTTACGCTCGTTTCTGGTCGTGTTGCAATACGCATTCTTTCCGTCTCGCTTTAGAGCTTGTGGATTTGTGCCGGTACGCGATTCGTCGTCACGTTTTCACGAGGCTTTAACCGTCCGCGTCTGAGTCTTTTTTTACGAGCGACTGGTTCGTCAGAGTGCCAACCACTTTGTTAAGTACACGTATCTGTAACGGTGCGTTACGACGAGCGCGGGATCTACTCGTGTTAAGTGGATGCGCGAGCTTTCAAGGAACATTCGACGACCGATTAAGAATGGCACGAGAGAGCTAATAGCTACTTCGAACGACGTGAATTTACCGTGTCACGTACAGTCTACATGCCCGTATTTGCATTTTCTTTATACAGTTCTTCAGACACAGCGATCGCTGCGCATTATAAATATGACATTTTGCACTCATTTTAATTTGCCAGCGCGTTTACCGACTCATTATGTATTATTTCCTTGAAAAACTATAATATCGTGCCATTCATTATCCACCGTCGTTATTTCTCGACAAGAAAGAATTCCTAACAGGCAGTGTATCGCAGCAATTACACTATTCTAGGACGTTAGAAAGTTTTATATGTAAATTATATAAATAAAGTTATATATCCGATTCTGTTAAAAACTGAAGTATGCGTGTAAAATATAATTTCTCTATGTTATTAACAATAGTAATGACAATAATCATTACAATAACGATAAAATAATAATGATAAAGATAGTATTAAAAGAAAAGTAGAAGGAAGAAGAGAACCGATGATTCGGAGGTATCAGTTCACAGTTTATGTTTATATTCTTTCTAAAGACCCTTTCCTCCTGATTGACCATGTAGTTCCTCATAAAAACGTGATTTATAGCTATACCGCCTCACAACATCCTCAGTTGTGTAATTTATTTATGTCCCGATAATTCGCAAATTCGCGTTATTTCTATCTAGCGATTTCCCCGGCTAATTCGTCGAACTGATTGAAAACTTATCGATCGGCAGATTAAGCTTTTCTTTAAGGTACAATTTCGCGAAGAGAAGCCAGTCTGCGCACGTATGTTCGGGAAGAAAAGCTTTCATCGATGAAGGTTCTCTTCCGGTGGACGATCTAGGCAGATCTCAAAACGAACAGTGACTTTGCTCGAAAAGTCGTAAACGTGGTCTAAGGAGAAGACATCCAGGCACATAACTAAAATGGAAACGGTCGCGGCGGGTTGCGGTCGAGGTGGGTGGAGGTTTATCGTCTGCTAGTAAGTGCTTCGCGGATTCTCACACTTCTACCCGCGCGCTACCAACCCTTGACGAGGGTTTAGGTGGGCAGGAGGGAGAGAGAGACCGTAAAATCACTGTGGAAGCTTGAAATAATACCTATTCACTCTACGTTAGCCTCAACTCGTTTCATTCCGAGTATTAACGAATAAATAATTGTTTTTTTTTTCGCATTTTTATTGAGTTTTATTTTTAATAGTTTTTAAACCGCTTTCATTCTTCCAATATTAATTACATTCGCCTTGATAAACTTTTGCAAGTGAAATGAGCTCTATTACGTTCGTATACATGGTATTTATATGTACTATAATTAATTCGTCATTCGACACAAAAAAGATATGCATTCTACGCATAATGGTGTGCTAAGTTATCAATTTACACCGTTATAACGCGATGCATGAAGATCGAATCGCGTCAATCGTTTCAAAATAAAGACATTATCACGTCTACGAAAGAGATTCTTTGAGAGATAACTTTGCTAGGGGAATGACTCGTTCGCGAACACACGGACTACCCTATCCGTTGCGCGAAGAATTTGTTTATCGAGCGCGATCGCAGATCGGTAAGAGGCGCGGCCACCTTCATTAACGAGACGCGTATCCCGGGTGGACCCCGGTGGCTTCGCTCGCCAGAGTTAGGCGGGCAAGTACGTCGTATTTCATAGAAGCCTGGTTGTATTTTCGCGCGTATGACTTTAACTGTCGATGCGGACTTCGCTTGTATTTCTTCTCAAGTTTTACTGGCGCTAGGTCGACCGCTCCGAGCCGTAAACGTCAGTCTCCGCTAAAGCCCCGCATGCCGGGTTGCCTGGGTTCCTTCCTCAACCTTCCCGCTTAGCCGTCGCCTTCTTCTTCTTTTCATTTTCTCCG